ACTCAATCTCCTTATATCAGAGAAAACATCAGCATTTGTTTTGGGGGGATTGGCTAACTTCACTTAGCATTATCTTCTCCAGTGGCCATCCATTTACCTGCAAATGCCATGATTTTGTTCTTTTTTAATGCAGAGTAAAATTCCATTGTGTATATATGCCACTATTGTACATCGAGTGTTCTCTAAAGTCATGGGATGGTGAGGAGGAGATAGTCAAGAGCAACACTGAGGAGAGGAATGCCTCGCTGGTAGGAACCACTGGGAACAGGAGACACCGGCCCATGAGGCACTAGCTGAAGCTGGGAGGCAGGCGGACTTACCCTCGGGGGAGGAGAAAGGCCCAGGATAGAAGCCTGGGGAACACCCATATTTGAGGATGAATTGAGATATAAAGCAACAAATGAACCAAGAGAAATTTATGGGAAATAAATTCAATGACCCAGAGATCAAGGTAAGACCTACACAGTCAGTTTTTCACCCTAGTGTTTAAAAGCTTACTACAGAGCCTGGGGGTGTCCCTCAGAACTAGTGTGTTGACTAGTATGTGTGAGGTCCTGGGTTCAATTCCCAGTACCAGGGGGGAAAAAAAGTGTACAGGAGGCTGAGAGAAAATATTTTAACATAATCAACAAACATTCAAAATATAATACTCCCATAATACATGAAAAGCTCCTGCAAATCAATGGTAAGTGGGACAATCCTACACAAAGGGAAAACAGCAAAGAATTAGTAGCTCGAAAGAGAAAAATACAAACCTCAACCTCACCAGCAATCAAAAACATAAAATTTAAAAAGTGAGACATCATTTCCTGTTATCTGATTGGGAAAACCATTGACTGTGTACCATGCTCAGAGTGAATATACAGGTTACAGGCCCTTTGATAAACTGATGATGGGACAGTAAATTGGCACCATGTTTTTGAAAGTCAATTTAGTAGTATTTATCAAAATTTAAATGTACACAAGTATCACCCACCAAAATTATACCTGAGCTGCAGAAATACTCATACAAGTTCCCAAAGGATGTTCATGGTAAGAACCTAAATACTCATCTATAAGGCAATTATCAAATAAATGATGCCTACTCTGGCTATTGTGTAGTCATTGAAAAGAATAAGATGGATCTATAGGGGCTGGGGTTATGGATCAGCAATAGAGCACTCGCCTCTCACGCGCAAGGCCCTGGGTTCGATCCTCAGCACCACATAAAAATAAATAAATAAATAAA